AAGTACAGGGTGTGAAGAGTTACAGTAGTTTACATTGACAGGCTTGAAACTGGGAAGAGCATCTATATAAAAATGAACTTTAATGGGACCTAAATCTCGAAATGAAGTTGACTTATTCCAGACTGCTAGTGTCACCCATCTTGAAATATTTTAAAATGTCAAAAATCAGTTTATCAATGGCAGGATTTTGAAAGTTTTTTATTATGATTCAGATTGATCAGTAGATTGATCAACTACCTGTGTATCTTAGTGATACACAGGTACGTTCATAAGAAACTGAAATGATCTGACCTGAGTTGGCCAAGCCAGCACCATGGTGTAGTCAGCCTGCTCTCAACAGCATTATTAATGATACCCCAAAAAGCCACCCTATTGCTAGATATTATAATGATGTATAGTTGATATAAAAATCAATGCGTGTTGACTTTGAAATGTTCTGACATCCTCTCACAAAGTAGAGCAAAAAGTGTTTTTTTTTTGATATTGGATGCGTCCACCCAGAGGGAAGGCTTGAAACTACAGTTAATGTAGGTATTAAGTCTGGAGTTTTCTGTACACAAGGGTCACCTTTGGGGCCTAAACTAATAGGAGTGCATATTCTAAAAAGGGTGCCACCATACAAATGCCCAGTCAAATAGGGTTGGCCTGTCGTGGGGCCTGGTGTACTGACAGCTTCTGGCAAGGAAGCACAAGAGAAGGGTGATGCAGTTCCCAAAGAACTAGGACAGAAGGAGAGAGAACGTGCAAAATATTGCACCTTCTTTTATGACTGCCTCTCTGCCAAGGATAAGGAACAACCTCTCCATGTGTCTCTCACCCACATATCTTTTGCAAGTACCTCTCCCTGGCCTCTACACATTTCTCATCCAGTCCTCGGTGAAAGTTGGAGATAGAGAAGCAAGAGAGAAAGGAACCTATCTTCTGTGCATATAGGTTCATGAAGTTACCCTCAGTTTCCAGTAGCTCCCCCACTCAAACTCCATGGCACAGTTAGATATGTAACCCCAGATGACTGCATGCAAATGGAATCTCTTTTAAGCTCCTTCCAGAGTCCCAAATCTCTCTTCCATTAATGGAAACAGCTGTCTTAGAAACCAGTGGCTTTCAGGGATTCTGGTAATTTCTAGTACTGCTCAGAGGTTACCGTGCTTACCACCCACAAAATGCATATACATAAACACAGCCACTACACACACCACAGACAATTCATCATACAAACTAAACCCCAGGTATCAGCACACGGCAATACCCCATCCCCCCGAATATACATAACACACACACACGGATATTTACTGCACACTGTACATACCACGTGAAGTATCTGACACATACACACAAGCCTGTGTCACATGCAACACTTACTATGACCACCACACCGGTCACATGGCCCCCCGCCACCACCTGTGTCCCCCATTCAACCCATGACCACCACACCCCTTGCATGTCTGCTCCATTGGCCAGTGTGCGCCCATACTTCCTTGGGACTGCGTCGAGAGCATGTCAGAATATCATTTTCTGGTTTCACAGATCACACTGGGCTGTAACTTCTAGACACTTGGGATTCGTCAGTTGATGATACTGACACAAATCTCTACCCTTTGGAGCTGAATTCCCATGAAGGAAGCAGGAAATAAGCAGGTAAGTAAATGTTCAGTGAACAATGCCTGAAGCAAAACAGTCCCTGAACAAAATAAAGGCCCTAAGCAAGTTTCAACTGAGGGAGAAGTGCACCTTCCTACAGGAGGCCACGGTAATCCTGGTTGAGGGGAGACAGCTGAAGGACTTGAGGAAAGTTCCTTAAGGATTTCTGTGCATGACAGTTTCTCACAGAGGGAACACTCAGGTCATAACCATTTTAGGGACTCCAGGGAAACACTCCCCAGACTGGGCACCTGACTTCCTGCACCCAGCCTCGTAGGGAGAAACCACCCCACTGTCTGGAGGAGATGCATCCCCAGGGGGCCTCCCACTGATCTCTTCTGAGCTGTCTCAGCATATCACACACATCGCATGAAGCACTGGGCTCTCCCCACTTTGGGGACGTGTCTCTGGAGGCTTCTTCTGTGTCCCCACCCCTCTCAGCCCTGAGTGCTGCATGATCCACTCATTCACACAGCAGGTGCCAGGGAGGCAGTGGTCACAGGACAGTCCCTGTCATGAGCTTGTGCTCTTGTCTGCTGCTGCTGTGTGGGGTGGTTGATCCTCCGTGGGGTCCCTCATCTCCTTTCTTGGTCCATTGATAAGACAACTCAGGATAAGCTGTGCCTGGTGCAGAGTCTCATCCAGGACAGTGACAGTGCAAGGAGGTACAAGAGAAGTCACCATCAGATCAGGAACCCCTTCTGTCTATGAGCTGGATGCCTCAGAGGGGTTTCCTGTCCCTGTGTGGTGTCTCCTCCCAAGACTGTGCCAGGACATGATGAGTCCATGAGTGGAAATGGGCAGAGGCTCTGGGCACAAGAATGGGGGTGCAGAACTGGAAGAAACTCCTCTTGGGTGGAAAGAGAGGAACCTGGGTCACAACTGGGCCTCGGGCCTGAGCTGCTAGATGGCAGGCCTGTGACTGGGCTGCACCCCGGCTCCTCTGCAGGTCAGCTGCCCAACAGACCCCACATGGCTCTCAGCCCCAAGCCAAGCACTGGGGCCCAGGGAGCAGCCAGCCAGCTCTAGAATTCCAGTTCGCTTCTCCTGACTGCCTCCCCCTTCTCCCGACCAGCCCCTCAGACTGCAGAAGTTAGTTCTTAAGCAAAAATATTATGTTTTTATCATAAATGCCTTTTACACCTGAGGATATAAATATGGCAGAGCCTTGTTTTGTGAAGATAACCTGTTTTTTTCCATTAACTGTAACTCAATATAGTGTTCTTTATTGAACTAGAGGTGGTGATGCGGCTCCCAGGTGGTGCAGACCACTCACTGCAGGGGCCTCCTATGCTCTCCTGGGTGGTGACTTTGGCTGTTCTTATGCATCAGAGTCCTGCCGAGCAAAACTGAGGAGAAAAGTGAGACGCAGCAAGAGAAGACAAGAGTGGGAGGATGATGTGGGGAAGTGTTGCAGTGCCCATGAGCCCTGCTGCTGTCACCCCCTTTTCCCACCACACCCTCCAGAGCAGTTTGCAACAATAGGCACTGGAAATTGCAAGGATAATATGGTTGAGGAGAGTCTTGGATTCCCAAGAAGGCTGGCGGCAAAAGTAGAGAGCGCTCAGGTCAGAGTCTGTGAACTGACCTCTGCAGGATTGCTGATAGCAGAGACTGTGGGGGTGACAGAAGCATCCTGGGCGACCATCTACCCCTTCTGCTGTTGCTGTAAATGAAGGGGCCCTCTCCTGTGTCCCCCTCCTGTTCAGGACATGTGGAAGAGTCACAATCCTCCCCATGTCCAGGAGTCTGCCTCCCTCCCATGTTAGTTTCGTTTCTGATTTAGATCAGAGCTCACTTCTTTTTTGCAGCTGCAGGGAGTGGCAGCTGGAGGGACCCCACCCTGAGTGTGTGGCTGTGCTGAGTGGCACAGGTGGTAAATGACGCCAGGCCAAGGTTTGTCAGGGAAGAGCTAATGTGTCTGTGTGTGCATATGTGTGTGTGGTGGGGGTAGCTTGGGAAAAGCACTTTGGTTAGGACTTCGCTCTCTAGCCCTCTCTCCCATTTTCTTTCTCTTTCTGTTTCTCTTTCTCTTTCACGCCCCATCTCAGAAGATCATGCATGAGAGGTAAGTGAAGGCCCAGGACCTGTACCCTAGGTGTAAGGAGTGGGGAGGCCTTTCTTTCCAGGAGCACAGAGCCCTTAGGAGAAGAGAATCTAATATATTTTAAGGGAAATAATTTGTGAAGTAAAAGAATTCTCCAATTCCCTATGACTAGAGAGCTTTGTCCTTATTTTTGGAGGGAAATAATCTAATCAACTTTAGTTGAGTCCCAATTCTTAATTCAGAGAATTGTCACTTCAAAGGAAAGTTCTCTAAGTTCTTCCCAATGACACTCTCTGGCAACAGCCACCAGGAATGGGAAAGGGAGAATAGGACTAGGTTCCAGAAGCAATCTCGTGGGAAGGACTGACTCTTGCTCCTGGTCACTCCCCTCCTGTCTCTGGGTGTCAGATCCTCACTGTGATGCTAGGGGGTGAACACCCAGGCCCAGGGGGCCAGGCCTTACCCAATGCTTCCTGGGTTCTATTCTACACACTCCCTCGATCCAGTCACCCTAAATCTGCTGGGAGGCAGTCATGGCCTGAGGAGGAGACAGTGCTCACAGGGGGTCTCCAGAGACCCTGCTCCAGGACCCACTCCTTCTCTTCCAACTCTTTCCCAATACCTGCTTCTTCCTGTTTTGTTGCTGATTTTGACTGTGACCCTGGTAGGGTCTTCACAGAGCCTGTTTCCTGGTTTTGTTGCTTGGGGGTGAAGTTAGGTTAAGGAGAATTGGGGGCATGGGGTAAATAGTGTTAAATGTGATTGGGAGTTTTTCACAGTCCCCCCAGTTCCCAAGTATTACTGCCACGTACAAAGAAGTTATACAGGTACGAAGAATTCTTAATGTTTACTGGTTGGGAAAGTGTTTCACTCTCCTTCACAGAGTTTTCTATATCTTATTGCAACTTTGGCTAAGCCTATGTTGCTAAGCCTCTCAGCAGCAGGTCCAAGAAGGTCTTCTATAAAGATGGGATGTTCTCTGTCTCTGGGGTGTCAGGTAGCCACATTTGCAGGTAGATAGTAAGCCGCTGAAACACAGTTAGTGGATAGGAAACTGAATTTTTAAATTTCATTGTATGTTTTAGTGACCATAAACAGGAACCAAACTCCAATCCATTTCCTTTCTAGACACAGGATTTCAAGATTAGTAGAGGCACAAAAATCCAGGTTATGTGTATTTCCATCACTATGGAAAGTTCTGTCTTCCTCTAACCACAATATTGGATTTTTTCAGAAAGCCATGGCCTCAGCCCTCATTACCAAGAAGATGAGGGAGGAAGCCACGTGCTCCATCTGCCTCCTGCTGATGACGGAGCCCATGAGCATCGACTGTGGGCACAGCTTCTGCCGCGAGTGCATAACAGATTTACTTGTTAATCAACGACAAGGGACATCATCCCCAAAGAGGTCCCACTGTCCCCTGTGTCGGGCACCCTTTAAGAAGGACAATCTCCGGCCCATAAAGCAACTGGAAAACCTCATTGAGTGCCTCAAGGAGCTGGAGCGTGAGAGGCTGTGTGAGGAACACGGGGAGCAGCTCCACCTGTTCTGTGAGGACGACGGGCAGCTCATCTGCTGGCGCTGTGAGCGCTCCCCCCAGCACAGAGGACACACCACAGAACTTGTGGAGGAGGCAGCCCTAGGCTACAGGGTGAGTACTGGATGAGAGGCCTGCAGCAGTACCTGTTCTCTTGTTGAACTCTCAGAGTTAAGATTATTTTTGCCTGAAATCCTATTTTATGATCTTAAAACACTCATCATGGTTTTTTTGGATTTTTTTTTTGTTTGTTTTTGTTTTTTTTTGGTATGTGATGGGTCTCCACTGAATAAATTTCTGTGCTCCTGATGTTCAGCAGGTGGTCAGTGTCTCATCCCATCCTTATTCTCTCTTGCTGTGATGATCCCTGCTGTAGCCTTCAGTGTGCTCAATCCACACTGGCCTGTTTTATCTTCACTTGTGTGTATAATTTGAAAAACCACAATGTGCAGGGCCATGTGAATCTGATAACAGGGACAGAGACACACCACCTTCTAGGTATCCTGCAGTCAACAGGGTAAGGAAATCAGCAAAACAAGAATGCTGGAGGCCCTTGACTTCGGAGGTTAGTATTCCCCCGCCCATGGGGAGTGATTTATGGGGGAGCTTCTAGAAGAGAGTCTGCAAGGACGCGCATCTCATCATATACAGAAATTTAGAGAAAGTCGTCTTGTGTATATTATTATCTTGTGCACATGCAGCTCTTCCCTGGCAGTATTGTGGTTTTGGGTCAGCTGTCTCTGGTCAGCAGATGAGCTTGGATCACAGCTCAGCGGCCCACCAGTGATGGCCCCTGGTGCATGTCATTCAATCCCTTCCTAAGCCTCAGATTCTACAGCACAGTAATGATGGTAAAAATCCTCCCAACTTCTCAGGGTTATAAGGGGATCAAATATGTTACTGTGCAGACTTTCCTCAGGGCGCTTCTCTGAAATCGTGAGAGTCAGTAACATTTAAAGTCTTCCTTATTATTAATAGCCCTGGAGGATGGGGATCCATTGAGTTTCCTTGAGAAAGCTTGACAAATTAATGTCCCACCTTATTTTTATCAGGAAATTTTCCAGAAAGCTCTGACTGAACTGAGGGAAGAGGAAAACCAATATCAGAGCCTGAAGTTGACCACAAAAGAGCAAATAAGGCAATGGAGGGTAAGAAATTGAGTTCATTAATTTCAAGCTATTTTGCATCCAATATCATTGAGAAAGTGATGGTTGGGCAACGTACTTCATGTTTTATTCTCACTAGACCAGGCAAAATAGCTAAAATCTAAGAACAAACATCCTTTATTTTATGGCCCTAGTATCTGTGAGAAGTTATCTACCTCTTTTTACCCTCACAACCATGATTGTCTAGAATGTTCAAAATCTCAATCTGTAAAAGCAGAGTTTTGAACTTTCTTACATGTAACCATCCTAGACCAGGTTTCAAGTTGTAAAGATCTCAGTATTTAAATAATTCAAATTCTAAATCACTTCCTGTTTTGAAGGTTTAACCATATCACCTTGGCACACTTATCACAGTGCAGGGTATAACGTTCCGCTTTCTAGGTTCAGAAGTCATCCTTTGTGAGCACTGAGAACAGGGTCACTCTGGGTGAGATTATGTTACTCAGCTCATGAGGCTGGTGGTGAGGATGGAGCTGCAGCAGGTACATACACAGACCACTGCAGACTGTGGGTCTCTAAGACTGTTTCTATAGTTTACACAGGGTCAGAGCCCACACCCCTATAAACTCACTGATGGAATCCATCGCTTTACAGTTAATTGTACTATTTAGTTATTCTGCCTGTTTTTGGAGTCTCTTCCAGCCTTTGTCCTGATCCTTTGTATGTATTTCCGGGATCTTGGGTAGTGAAGGGGGAATTTCCATTGTTACAAACATATAGGGAAACCACATCAATGCCTGAGTCCAGCTGTCCTTGCCTCCTACTCAAAAGTTCTGCTTTATCCTAATTAATGATCCATGACTACAATGTCACAGTCATATGATGCTGTATGAACTGAGAAATCAGCAGTGGAAATTGCAATTCTGTATCTTCCAAATGAAAAGTGAGTCCCACAAGAAAGTTTATTTGGTTCTGTCATCTTAGAAAAAACAGTACGGGACACAGGCTTAGTTGATTAATATTTCTGGTAACTCTGATCAAATTCTGCCCCTTTCCTGATAATCATAGACTCCCCCACTTGCTGTTAATGTCTAGTCTTGGTGACGTTCATCACAAACTGTTGCTTCACAAAGTTCCATCAGAGACAGATATACCTTCTTACATCCAAATACATAAACTGGGATTATTAGTGTTTGACCTTGGCCCTACTTCCATAATTCATCAGCTGAAGAAGAAGGAAATAACTCAGTTAACTATAGAGAACTGTGACAGCCTCTCCCATATCTGAGTTCTGCGTCCTGCACCTCATTCTGTAGCAGGGACATGCATGTTCCTCCACCTCAGATGACTCATGGCAAAAAGTATCACAGTATCTCAAAAACTTTTCTTTTTATAAATGTCTGTGATCTTTAAAATAAACATATGAAATTTACCATTTTCAGCATCCTCTGTGTTCACATTATTGGCCATCATGTTGATATTGGGGTGTCCACAACTCTACTCTCCATCTGCAGAACTTATTCATCCTTCCAACTTGAATCTCTATCCCCCGATCTTGTCCCCAGCCATCTACTTTCTTTTTAAATTTGACTATGTACCTATAGAAAAACAATCATGAAACTGTTGTCGTTTTGTTCTGACTTATGTTACTTGCCATAATCTCTTCAAGGCTCATCCACGATGTATCAGCTTCCACATATTTCTAAGGCAGACCAGTATCCCATTGTGCTTATGCACCTCATTTTGTATCTCATTTCATCTCCAAATGAGTTTTGGTTTGTTTGCACCTTTTGAGCATCCTTTATTGATTCTAGGAGAAGATAGTGCATGCGAGAAGTAAAATCCATTTTGACTTTGAGAATCTCTACAACTTCCTCCGTGTTGAGAAGTGTTATCTGTGGAGACTGGAGAGGGAAAAAGAGCAGACTCTGAAGAGTTTGCAGGACAATGAGGCGAGTCTGGAAAAGCAGATCCAGGAACTCAAGAGCCACATCCAGGAACTAGAGAAGAAATGTCAGGGCCCAGCCCAGGATTTGCTGCAGGTGAGGCTGTGCCCTGCGAGGATGCAGAAAAGATGTCTGTTCCCGAATGTTAAGGGGACCGTGGAAAGAAGCAGGGGAAGATGGCAAGGTCTTCCACTTACACTGGGAGGTGGGGAATCATTGTAGGGAATTTAAAGTAGTGTTTCTTTTGAATATGGCCCCCAGAAATCTATAGGGTGCCTTTATGTGGATCATAAAATATATTCACATTGCATACATAGGCTAGATCCTTGGCCAATACATACCATAGGAGTCTGTGAGCTTCTATCTGTCTCTGTACAGAACCCTGACTGCAGACATTTTCCTAGAAGATTCCTCCGGTTGACTTGTGGGTGATAAAGTGGGTCAGCCACAACATATGAGACACTCTCCCTGATTTGTTTGTAGTTCTTGCTCCAAGACCTCTTATGGGGCTTTGCTCAGGCTGCATGAAGGATCCACCCCCTTCACATACATCCTAGAGCTGTTTCTTCTCATTCCTTACATAGAACTGGAGGTCACGCTGTGAGCATGTAGTGTGACAGCTCTGTCACCAGGTGACACCTGCTGCCACCACCTGAGTGGGTCTCTCAGGGGCTCTGCCTCTGCTCACCGCTGAGGACATTTGTGATAAGCCTCTAACATGGGCTGCTTGGAAGGATTTTAGGTCCCTGAAAGCAAATCTCCAGAGGGACATAGGAAGCTTCTGTCCTTCTTCCCCAAGCAACCTACAGGCTGATGTGATTAGAGGCACGGGTCACAGTAAGGAAGTTACTAGACTCAGTGGGTGAAGTACTAGATGCCATGCTGGTACCCTAGGGGACAGAGGGCATCACTCTACCTGGTAGCTGTCATTGTCTGTGGCTGGCTCGTCTCTTCGCTTCTTTGGGAGAAATGATTAGAGGCTAGTCCTGCATGTCAAGCTCCATAAGATATGCTGCTCCACGATCACATTGTGCCTTTGTTTCTCTTTAGGACATGAGAGACACCTTGGGCCGGTAAGTGCTGTATGAGTATAGGGGTGATGGTGTAGGGGTACATTGAGCTTCATGGAATGTTCACTGAAGATGTCTCTGTCCTCTGCTGATTCCAGGAGTTTGACTGTGAAGCTGAATGTACCAGAGGCTGTGTCTTTGGAGCTTCAGACTGTGTAATATTTCTGAGCTTTACTTGGATTTGAAGAAAATGTTAAAGAGCTACCAAGGTTTGTGAAGTTAACAAGTTCTTAAGTGCTGTGGACAAAAGGCACCTTAAGTTATAACTGAGTTCACTACCTGCCCCTGGACAGGCTCATAGCCACATCGGTTGTTTAGTTATTTTCACAGGGCTGCCGCACTTTCTCTCTTGTTAGGATGCCTCAGTGATTGGACAGGGGCACAGGATGCAGGTGATCTGGGCAAGCTTTTCAAACTCCTTTTCTTCCATTTATTAACTGTGTCATTCCAAACATATGACCTCCTTGATTTTCCCACCTGAAAAGTAAAAATACTAACAATTCTCATTTCACTGTTTTGTCATTAAGATGAAATGCATCAATCTGTATGAAGTATTTAGAACAGTGTCTTGTATGTAATGTTTATTGTTAATGTCTCAGTCATGTCTGAGAAAGTAGGTGAGGATAATGGACTTTAAGGTTAATGGTTTTAAGGCCTTGACCCAGACAACATGGTAAATGTTAGAATAATAACGAAAAACCACATTTTACCCATTGTAATCCTGTCCCTTGATTCTCTTAATCAGTGCCAGCTATATTTCCATCACCTCTTAGCTACAATTACAAAATTCAAATGGCTTGACAACTAAGTATTTTCTATCACTCATTTACCACAAAATGAGACCTAACTGGAAAGATTTGGTGACTGCTTTAGTTATGTACGGCTGCAAATATTTAGTGTTTAAAAAAACAACACATTTTATCTCTCAGTATCATGTGTCAGACATCTGGGGACAGCTAAGATGGGGTCACACGGAGCACCTATGGGCTTATCTGGTGGATCAATGGGGGGTTAATCCTCTTCCAGTCTTCTTCCAGTTGTTGGCAGAATTAATTTCTTTATGGTTATAGCATTTAGGTCCTGACTTCTTACCACCTGTTCTCTGGAAGCACCCCCAGCTTCTGAAAGTCACCACTCATCAATTTACACATAGGCTGCCCAACATGGCCAATTATTTCTTGCAAGCGAGCTCAGGAGAGACAATCTCCAGAGTAAGTCAGCTATTAAAATGGAATCACATAGTGAAATATAATCAAGGGGTCACATCCCATAATTTTTGCCAGTGGTTGGAGGTAATCGATCAGAGGCATCTTAGGTTATGCCCACAGTTAAATGGAAGAAGTGTTATAAGACTGTAAAATGAAGAGGCAGAGGTCATGCACACCACCTTGGATCTGTCCTCTCTCAGTGGCTAATCCTATGTCACACTGATATGAGACTACTGGAGACCTTTACTTATCCTACTTCATGCAAGGTTATGAGGATGCGGCTGACATAGCCCCTGCTGGGGGTGGGTACACCATGTAGTGTGTATTATTGTTATGTATTTAAAACATCAAAAATATTCTGAATTTTAATATTTGCCCCTATACCCAGTTTTTGTAAACAAGGGATTATAGATTTTTATGTAAATGTCAGTTAATGTCACGTTAATGTCAGTGGTAGCCACCAAAAACAGTATCTGAGAATTTGAATTCATAAAGATGCAAGGAAGGAAAAATCAGAACTTTATGAAAGTCATGTCCAGAGTTCAGTAAGCTGATTTGCCTTCTTTTATATTTCATACATGGCATTTCAAGGAGGTTTAAGGCAGTCTGTTTCTGAAATGGGCTTATCTCTTAATTAAATATATCACCTTTTTAAAACCCTCATTATTAAAGCCTTTGGCTATTTTTTACTATAATATAATAACATTAATAACTATAGTAATATATAATACACTGTACTATATATTATATTAATTTTACTATAATGCAAAAATGTTAATAGTTTTAATACTATATAATATATTACTATACATATTATGTATATTATTAATAATATACATAATTACACTATTAGTAATAATAAAACTAAATTTATTGTTTTTTTCTATAAATCATTTTTACAAATAAATTGTAATCAATTAAATAGAATAGAATAGGCATGAAGAAAAATCTCACATTTCCCTCCCCATTTCCAGTTCTACTTCTCAAGGCAGCAAAATCTAGGTCTTTCTATGTTTGTACAAGCATTTAATATAATTTATTGAAGTCTCTTCCTATGTCACCTATGACATTTAAAACTACCACTCCATGAGACTATCCTAATTATATGTAACCTTATCTCTGCTGATGGGGCCTCAGGCTCTCCAGCACTGGGGGTGACAGCAATGCTGCAGTGATGTTCTAGTCAAACAGCCTTGTATCCTGGAGCTTTCATTTCTGTGGCATGTTCCTAAGGCCGAGGTTGCTGGAAGGTGTTATCCTGATGCCTGTTGCCAGGTAGCTTGTTCCAGTGAAGCAACAGGCACTGCCACCTGTAAGGTTCCACTTGCCTAAGTGAGCGCTCTCTTTCTGTGGCTGATTCGCTTGTTTAGGAATTTTGTCTTCTGATGAGAAGACTCCGCATGTGCTCTCCTGTTTTATTCACAGTCCTCCTTTTCGGGGCTTTGATACAGATGAGGAATCTGAGACATAGCAGGTGAAATGAGTGCTGTAAGTCCCCACAGTGGAGGTCTGGGAACTCAGTCCATAGCTCTAGAACTCTTTGTCACTTTGCAGTGTGGTAATCAATGAATGTGATTTTTTTGTTTGTTTGTTTAATTTTTTTTTTTGGTGGGACTCTCGCCGATGGCTGGGGAAAGAACCAGCGCTACAGAGCCTGCAGGCAGCCTCGCAGCCCAGTGCTCAACCGCTGCGCCACCAGAGGAGGCCCGAATGTGATGTTTTTTTAATGGAAGGCTTGAAGTCACTTGTTATTTCCTTGGTTTTTTTAAATTGTTATGCACAAAATACTTCTGTGAACATTTCTGGCCCATGCTTCCTTCTTTTCTTGAATGGATTGCTCAGATGTACCTTGAATGGAATCTGTACTATACAGGGACGCACGTTTTACTTTTACAAGCTCTGCAGATCTTAAAATTGTATGAATGTTTCCAACCCACAGTAGGAACCTCCCATGTGTGACTTGTCTCACTATTGAACACTTTTGACAACCCGATAGATTTAATCTGGTATCTGTTTATGGACTTAATTTTATTTCTCTCTTTTCACTAAAGAGGTTCAGTTTCTTTTTGCTTGCAAGTCCATCGACCCTGTGGGCTTCTGTGATTACCCAGGGTTTACTCTGTTTTGAGAATGTTTCTGTTAAGTTCTTGACTTTATTGATCTGTGAAAGCCTGTTATGTCCCATATCTTCTGATAGGCTTAAAACAGTTGTCACTCACTGTTTCACTATTGACTTTTTTATATGAAGCATTTTTAATTGTTCAATTGTATATATATTATATTATGATGTAGATGTTTTTCTATTCATATTTCTCTATATTTGGCCCTTTACTATTGATTTCTAAGCTATTTGCATTGCACCCCCAGCCCACTGGGGCAGTCTGTCTTTGCCTTATCATCTCCTCTGTGCTTCTGTTGGCTGAAGAAAGTAGAAGTCAGAGAAAATGGAGCCTGGGAGACGTGTACGCAGGGGTCAGCTTTACTGGGAACAGCAGAGTGGAGAGAGGTGTGGAGTGATCTTGAGGGGGAAAAGTGAGCCCCCATGACAGGAAGAGTTTCTGCAACTTGATTTCCCTTACTGCTGGAGTCCAGTAATCAGTGTTTCACCCCAACACAGTGTTTACTTAACTCTGTTGCTACAACTTCTGTTCATTTTAATACTGCTCAGCTGCTCAGTGTCACACTTAAGTTTATCATATATTTTTCTATTTTACTTGACCCTATCAATAGTTACATGTTTTTTATGTGTATTGGTTTCCATTACAGCTAATCCATTAGCTGATACAAGACAGAAAAGCTTATACTTTAAAAAGCATGGGGCAGGTTTCCTGAGGTCTGGGAAAAATTCTGGGCCTTCAGTAATAAGCTATGTCCTTAGCTTTGTTATTTTCCTTTCTTATTCTTTTTTTTTTTTTTTTATTTTTTTTTTTGTATGGAGGCATGCTTTTTATTTATTTATTTGTTTTGTTTGTTTGTTATGTTTATACATGCACTGGGTACAGTCAGAAGCGCGGGAGGGTGAGAGAATTCACCAGAGCCAGAGCAGGGAGCAGAGCAGGCAGAAGGACTGAAGTACACTGCTGAGGGAGCAGCGGGCGGCAGGAGAGGTCTGCGCGCCATGTGGGACCCTCCTCTGGTGGCCGGGGAGCAGCCGGGGATCGAACCGGCGCCTCGGGCGCGGGCAGCTTCGCAACCCAGCGCTCAACCGCTGCGCCACCGGGGAGGCCCTCCTTTCTTATTCTTGGTGTGGGTGGTTATTATTAAAATGGAAGGGCTCGCTCTACTCAAATCTTCTGTGATTCCTAGTTGTCCTAGATAGGAGATGAAGGACTTTGGGGGGACAGTAACATTATCACTCTGGGTAGTTCTGGTCCTTGGCTTCTCTGAGTGGTGAGATGGTGATGATGATATTTATTTTTACTATCCATTAATGATCATTTCCCATATACCAGGAATTTCACCAACCCTTACGCTTATGTTAGCTCATTTAAACATCTTCCACACCATTCTCTGTGACATAGGATTTCTGCTTTATATTTAACAGATAGGGGATGACTCATGCACCCAGCAGGAAACAGAGCTCACATTTGAACACAGGCTAGTTTACTGAAAACTAAACACATTAAAAACATGTTTTTTTTGTTTTCTGTTTGTTTTATTTTGCAGTCCTGTGACCCTGGATCCAGATACAGCTCATACTCACTTAATTGTCTCCGAGGATCGAAGACAAGTGACCTGTGGAGGCCCGCAGTTGAACCTTGGATTTTCTCTAAGATTTCTTAACCTACCCTGGGTCCTGGGCTGTGAGCGCTTCACCTCAGGAAGATTACTTTGTTTTTTTTTTTGTTGTTTAACTTTTCATTTTGTTTTTTTTCATTATTTTTTTATAAATAAATTTTATTTTTATATTCCCCATACAATTGCAATCCCCTTATTTTGACCCCAATCCCTCCCCTCCCTGCCCCTCACCACCCATGGAGT